AAACTTTGAGCGTCCTCTAACTATTTTTTGATTTGAAAATAAAAAACGGGGTATATTTTTTCGATAAACATAGAACATTCCTAGGGGCGAGAGCATTAAAATTCCGACTTTACTTATTTTGGACCACCCTAATGTACATACATATGCATAAAAAATATAAATATAAAGTTTTATGTTGAAACAATCATTGAATAAGGTACATCATTATAAAAGTTCCTGCACTAGAATTGCACTCTAGATCCGCCACTGGCTCACCAGCTTACCTTATTTATGTACAAATACATTACTACGTCAACGACTTTTCACACATCTTTGTGGAATCAAAAATATTTAAAATGGGTTGGAAATATATAATCTCTCTACTGGAAATGGAACAAAATCGCCTCCCAAAAATTTGGTTTATTATCATTTAAACACAAATGCGGAACCTGAATGCAACTGGGTAACACAATTCTCAAACAAAATTGGTTTATCTCATATATGGGAGACGCTGAGCTCGGATGCCTGGAAAGCTTTAGAGCAACTAGCTTTTGAGCGCATTGATCGTCTTTTAAAATTTCAGGATGTACTAAGCTGTTCCAATTCTCCCTCCATGAACTGCAAAATTTTACGATCACTCGACGAAAGTGTGGCCCCATATCTTCTCTTTAGGAAAAACTTCTACATGAGTAAAATGTTTGGCCAAGTTCGCCTGTCGACGAAGTACTACATAAGGTTTTGCATCGAAGGCCTGGTTTATAAAATAGACCCAAATGCTTTATGTACCCAGTGCAATTCAGATAAAATGGAAAGCCTAGAGCATCTGCTCTTCAAGTGCCCAATTTATTGTTCTTTTAGGGACTACTATCTAGGACCACTTCTAAAGGAATCTGAAAGAAATCCAATGCATATATTCCAATTGACAGACCAATTTACAGTCAGGATGGTGTACCTCTATGACGTTCACTGTTTGCCATTCAGAGCCAACATATTAAATGATTAAATTGTGTAAACTACTGAAACTTTTTATTTTTTATTTTTTAATACTTCGTAAAATACTTCCACTTTTAATACATTTGCGAATAATTACGTAACTCTCACATATGTAAACTCAAATGTAATTATTAGAAAGCCTGCTAAAAACATACAGTTTATAAGCAGGGTTAAATAAAATGAATGAATGAACATCTTTGTCTTCCTTTTTAACACCCTTAGGGCCGGTTGCTCAAAGCCTGGTTGACACTAGTCACCGGTTAAACATCGTTATCGACGTTACCGACACCGTGTTATATGCATGGAGTCGAAAACGTCGATAACGATGTTAACCGATGATTACTGTCAACCAGGCTTTGAGCAACCGGCCCTTAAAGTATTGAGATCGGAATTATTTAAAAAATCTTAATTGGCCGAATACTAGTACATACTACTTAATACGTGAGCATGACGATATTAAAGTTACGGTTGCCACTGTTGGTTGTTTCCAAACAAACTTGGTTGTTTTTCTTTAATTTTTCAAATTTGGTTGTTTGGTAGTTTTTTCTCTGGTTTGGTTGTTTTTTTTTTATTAGAAATTTGCACATTTTTTCTTTACAAAAATAATTATTGCATTCTGAATGCCATAAATGAATAAATGAATTTTTCAAATTACAATTTTTAATGTAACATGTTTTATATGCGCATACAAAAGGTAGGGCTTTCGATCTCTGCTCGCACATTCTCGAGCATTTCCATACCCGGGAAATCGAGTAATCGAGTTCCCGACACAATCTCGGGTATCGCCATTCACACGAGCAGTTTCGAGAACACGGTTAAAAATTTCGGTTTTAATTTTAAACTTTATGGACTATATATATATCCAAACTAAATTCAGTTTCAAATACAAACCTTCCAAGTTTAAAAAAGAGAGCACATATGTTAGGTTTAGAATTTAAACAGTTCGGTTTAAATTTTAAATGCAGACATTTTCATAATTAAGAATAAAAAATAAAAAGGTCTGGTGGGGATTGAACCCGGACAGCCTTGGTAGCAACCAATTGTATCACGCATCTTTGCACACTCAGCTACAGCCACGCATGTAATTGTGCTTTCATATGTTGAGTTTGAATCAACACTACATTTTCTATTTCGGTTTAGATTTTAAACCAAATTTTCTATATATGAAACCTATAAACTAGAATTGCAACATTTTAATTTGATTTTTAAACCAAGAACTTTTCGGACTAAAATTTAAACCAGAATATATTAAAAATTGCTTAAATCTATTGACTGGTTTAAAAAGTAGATTATAAAAGACTAAAAAAGGCAGTAGTCCCAGCGCGGTTTAAAAATCAAACCCAAATTTTTGACCGTGTAGTTATCGAGACCTATGTACGTATCAGGGTTGTTGCATTCGCCTTCGCAACCGCGGAACTTCCGCATTATTTTTAACATTCGCATTCGCAATAATTAATGCGGAGCTTTTGCGAATGCGAATGTTGTGCGAATGCATCGATAAAACGTATATATGGCAAACAAAATGATAAATTGTAGCCAATATTTTTGTCTGTAGTCGTGGGAGTATTTGCGTAACAAAACTGGTCAAATATCATATAATCAACTTTGATCAAAATGTCTTTAAACATATTATTTATTAAGCTACATAACCGAGTTTTCAATGGACAGTCATACAAATTCCCACTTCTACTTGACCTTTGGCGTACGTCAAAGAGAACATAGTCCTTTAAATAATTTTTTTTTCTGTGCTTTAAATACCTGCATTGGTTTCTTTCTTTATTATGATTTTTTTGAATCAATCTAAAAAAAAGTCTAGACACAAAAGAAGAAAGTGTGCACTGTTATTCTTAACCATATGTTCGTGATTTGCTTTTGATGTTACATATATTCGTATATTTAATTTCACTGGGGCTCTTTGGGGAATTTATTTTTTATCAAAAATTTTAAAATCAGTAATTTTGTTTACTTGTCGGGCAATATTTTTTTCGTAGTTGGATATACGTTGGATCCTTGGCTAAAAACTTCTGTGGTAAAACTCTCCCTTCTTTGCTATTTAAAGTCAAAGAGTAAGCTTCTTCAATATGGATTTCCAACAGAAATGATCAACGCTTGGCTATAAAGAGAATCGATGCTCAATTATTAAAAAGCTATAGGTCGGACCTTTAATAAGATAAGAATTACTTAACTGTCTGAGATTCAAATGCTTTTAAAAAACGGGGTCCTTTTTAAAAAAAATAACAATATTCTGATCCGATTCTGCTGGCAGCCACGACTTTGAAAACATAATTTTGTTCAAAATTTGCATTCCTGGAAAATAACATTTTATTTTCCATATACACCTATTTAGCTCGCTATAAGCACAAATTTTTCAAACCAGTCGCAGAAGAAAGTATTAAAAATGAATTGCAAAAACTGAAATCGAAAAACACTGATGAAGTTACAGACGCCCAAATTCTTAAACAGACCAAAAAGTGAGAATGAATAATTCTTTTTAAAAAGCTTTAGAAAAACCTGACATATGTATCTGGTTTGACTTGTAAGCACTGTTTAAACAACGATCTCGCCATATCCTAGATTCTAATTTTTTCTTAAAAATACTTAACATCCGCATCCGCGGATGTTAGCTGTTAGATATTCGCACCCGCATTCGAATCCGCGGATGTCGAAAATTCCACATTCGCAACATCCCTAGTACGTATGTATGTAAGAGCATATCGCACGTATTAAAGACAAAGCCAGAAAATTGTATGTGTAAATGTTAAATAACTAGTAATTTTTAGAAAAAAAAACCGACTTCAACTCCCATATAAAAAAAAAATATATATATATATCTCATGATCCGCTGATCGGATCTTAACCAGATTAGGATGGGACCACCTCTGAGACACTACCTTTCCGATGCAAAAAGAATTATCGAAATCGGTTGACGTGGTCCAAAGTTATGCGGTAACATACATCAAAAAAAAAAAAAAAAAATAAAATAAAATAAATATTCCGACGAACTGATAACCTCCTCCTTTTTTGGAAGTCGGTTAAAAAGAAAAACGTTTGTGCGTATAAGAAGAATTTAGTTCGATGTATAGGCTGTGTATGTATGTATGTATCTGTATTATTCGAGTTTGATGGCTCCACCAAAGAAAGTGAGCAAAAGTAATAAATGGAGAAGAATAGTGGAATCTGATATTTGTAAAGCTCTTCCATATGGTTGGACAATACAGACCTCACTGGAAAAGAACATGCACATGGCTGATATTCTGGAGAGCGACGAGATTGCACATGAAAGAAATTCAACAGTTAAGGGTTTAAATACCCTAAATTAAATACGATGCCTTTAATTGATCATCGAGAAGCTCGCGAGTATAACGAGTTTTTCGATACACGAGAATCTTGTGAGTAAGCGATCCTCGCGAGAATTGCTTTTCGAACAATCTCGGGAAATCGAAGGCTCTAATAAAAGTAAAGTAAATATGTGATTGAACGCGCAAGTATTTAAATATTTCTGATTTCCGGAATAGCAGCTATAACTTCTACCAAAATGTAAATTAATATTGTTTTTCCACAAAATCGTCATTAAAAAAACCGCCCTCAAGCTCAATAAAATTGCTGAATTTTTGTTTTTTTAATAAGTTTTGCTTTGAGTAATAGATAAGTGGGTAGCAAATTTGGTTGTTGTTCTTTTCAATTTGGTTGTTTTTTCTTCAGATTCTGGTTGGTTATTTTTATTATAAGTTGAAACCGTGATTAAAGTATGTAATTACATATATCGTCGTTTAAAGTACAAAACCGCGTATCGTCATTCTGCAAAACCGCGTAACTGACATTGGCTGCCGAAAATTGGATTTGCTCACACAAGCTAAAATAACTGATGCAACCTCACATACGCGGTTTTGCATTTTGTTGATACGCGGTTTTTTACTTTAAACGACGATATACAATGTTTGTACGTATATATACATATGTATGTAATCACTTAACCGCAATTGCTATCTTTTTGTATTTTCCACGGCTGTTCTTGACTGTGATTGCAGCATTTATGTGCCACCACAACACATTTTTGGTTTATCAGTCTATGAGGAATGCGACACTAGAACGATGGGAGAAAGTCACGCACGTTTCGATCGGATTCGCTTTGGCCGTAGCTGCCCTCTTCGGTATTGCTGGATACTCTACATTTCGTGCACTATCCCAGGGTAAGTATTAGGGATGTTATATTTTTCGATTTTTACGATCCCGGGATTTTCGGGTTGTCGTTGGTTCAATCCCGGAATTTCGGGATTTAGATATTTATTATTTTTAAACAACTTTACATGAAAAAATGAATCAATATGGTTTGAGAAGTTCTCCCACCATGTAATAAATAATTAGTAAATGGGTTTGGAACGCACTTTCTTATTTTAAGTGAAAATTAAATTATAAGTAACAAAACGAAAGACAGTAATTAAATTTACATGCATTAAATAATACTTTTGCGTGTACATATATAAGTCAAGAAATTTATTTTCTGGTTGAAAGTTCATAATACTAATGGCAGAAATAAAAGAAGCGCTTTAAACGGACCAGATTTGTCCATACACATTCCTTTTGTTTATTCAAAAATTACATTTTTTTATAAAAGTCTTACTCATATTACATCTAATTAACTGCATATAAATGGGCATTTCTTTGACCTCAAGATTTTTTTAAGGCTTTCTAATTTCAAAGATATGATGAGTTTCAAAACTTATTTAAAAAATTCAAGGCAATGTAAATCAAAAATATGGGCACCAAATGAAAGAATTTTTGGGGTTCACAAGGACGAATAGAAATTTAAAATGGCCCTTTAATCTGTTTTATTTTTTAAGCTAGTAAAGTTAGTCCTTAGCATATAATTTTTTCAAAAATAAAAATTGCAAAATTTCAAGCATATTCAAGGATAAAATTATAAAAGGGTATTTTCAATACCTACCCGTCCCTTCAGCACCAAGAAATGTAATCTGTTTTAACTCTACAAAATCTTCTCTTTGATTTAATACCCACACAGGTTTTTTCAGTACATTGCACTGAAATTTTTTGAATTACTCACATCTTTTAAATTCAGAGAGAAAAATTAAGAGCCCGATTTTACTACATTTGGCCCTTGGTTTCGGGAATATATTGATTTTTTTCTGTGCGAAATTGCCTCTCGCAAGGTATTATATATCAAATGAAACACCTCTTTGAGGTAAAATTTTCGAGTGACGAAAGCTGAACTAGAAACATAAAATTTATGACATAAATTTCGTGACGAAAATTATACGCATTTTTTAACTGCCTTGGAAACGTAGGGAAAATCTTTTTTATTCATACAAATCGGTGCAAAAGTTCTGTTTTTTATTTTGTGTTTCTAGCAGTAAACGGAATTTCGCAACGAATAAATAAAATAAAATTATAGTTTAAAAAACTATAATTTCCATTCGTATGTAACTTGAGAATAGAAATCGCTGCATCTATTAGGCGCATCAATATTACATATTTACATCCCGAGCTAATAAACGGGATGCCGTCCGTTTCAAAGGCAGTTAAAAAATTCGTATAATTTTCGTCACGAATTTGATATCATAAATTTTGTGTTTCTAAATAGTTCAGCTTTCTTCACTCGAAAATTTTACCTCAAAGAGGTGTTTTATTTGATATCAATTATTTTGGGGTAGCAAATTTAAATCGACGAAATATCATAACAATAATCTAAATGCTTTACTTTTCTCAAATAAATTGCTAAAAATATTATCTAAATCTAAATTATGTATTCAAATCGAGGTGTCCATTGACCAATTCTGAATATTCCCGAGGATTTCATTTCTCGCGGATTTAAATTTTCTCTATAATAAAGTCCTCCTATTCGAAACTGCCAGGGGCCAACCTTTTCCCCGAAAATTTGGGAGCAGGAAATTCGAATTTTCGAAGAGCTGTTTGGCAGTTATTTTGACAGCTCAACCACCGCCATTTAATTTGCGCGTTTTACACATAAAAGTGTGTTTCACATAAAAGAGTATTTCAGATTAAAGTTGTTAATAAATTAGTGCGCGGAAATTTCAAATCTGTGTTTTAAATTAAAGCTCAATCTTTTAACTACACGGGTAAGTTGAAAGATTTTAATTAATATCGCGCGTTTTCTTGTAATAACCCGAAATAAGTGGGCAAATAGGATAAGAGTACCCTTTGCTAAGTCCAGTTGCCACTGTGAATTTTGGAAGTCACATTATTAAAAAACTAGTGCTCCGGAAATTTAAATATAAGTGCTAAATTAAAACTTGGTCTTTTAACTACACATGTGAGTTGAAATATTTTGATTTCAATCGCGCGTTTTCATGTAATAAACCAAAATAACCTAGCTTCATTTGGCTTATTAAGGTTTCTACCTGTTTCTAATTTGTTATTTTGGACCTACAATTAAAGGTTTAAACGTTTTATTACACCAAATTTCCTTTAAATTGTAGTTAACTTACATTTTTGTAGCAGTTCCCTTTTAAAATACCGGTGAAAATTCTCCCAGAATAACGAAATCAATTCTACTCCTTTTTGATACTTGATACTTTTTTCCCGAAATACATTTTCCCTTTTTCGAAGATCGTTTAGAATAGGAGAATAGGGAAAAGAGGAAAACTCGTCAGGGAATTTTTATTCATGATAGGAGGAAAGAGAAATTAGGAAAAAGGGAGTTTATATTCAGAATCGGGCTGTTAATTTTTCGAATACGGAATAAAGCGAAAAAGAATGATCATATCCTTTGTATTCGAAAAAATTACACAGTAGGGAGGCAAAAATATCACAGCTAAACGGCCAAATACTTAATCTTAATTTTGGCCTCTAGATTACGATGGTGTTTTCAGAAAATCCGTATCACGTCAAAATTTTTAGATATTTAGGGATAAGTTTTAGAGTTCTGAAAGTGAATTTTTCGTCGTTTAAAAGACTGTGTTCAGGTTTTGAATTTTTTTCTGGGCAAAGGTTTTGATAACTGATCTTACTTAACTGGGATCTTTTAAATTTAATGGCGTCCTCCGTTTATCCAGATTGGCTCTAGTTTTCGAGATAACGGAGCTTGAAAATCTGCTTAAATTTTGGGTTTTTTGTTAATAATTACCTCAGTTTTAAAGTTATTTTACTAAAATTTTTCAAGTGACTGTATTTTGATATTCATCCCGATTCTGAATAGAAACTCCCTAGGAATGTTTCCTCATTTCTCTTTCCTCCTATCATAAATAAAAATTCCCTGAGGATTTTTTCTCTCTTCCCTATTCTCCTATTCTAAACGATCTTTGAAAAAGGGAATATGTATTTCGGGAAAAAAGTTGGTATTACGAATGTCAAAAAGGAGGAGAATTGATTTCGTTATTCTGAGAGAATTTTCACCGGTATTTTAAAAAGGAACTGCTACAAAAAGGTAAGTTAATTACAATTTAAAGGAAATTTGGTGTAATAAAACGTTTAAACATTTAATTTTAGGTCCAAAACAACAAATGAGAAACAGGTAGAAACCTTAATAAGCCAAATGAAGCTAGGTTATTTTGGTTTATTACATGATGAAAATGCGCCATTGAAATCAAAATATTTCGACTTACATGTGTAGTTAAAAGACTACATTTTAATTTAGCACTAATATTTAAATTTCCGCAGCGCTAGTTTATTAATAATGCGGCTTCCAAAATTCAAAATTTACAGTGGAAACTAGGCCTAGCAAACTGTAGCCTTTGGTATTTGCACACTTATTTTGGTTTAGTACATGGAAATGCGCGATTGAAATCAAAATATTTCAACTCGCATGTGTAGTTAAAAGACTAAGTTTTAATTTTGCACTAATATTTAGATATCCGGAGGACTAGTTTATTAATAATGTGGCTTCCAAAATTCACAGTGGCAACTGGACTTATCAAAGGGTACTCTTATCCTATTTGCCCACTTATTTCGGGTTATTACAAGAAAACGCGTGATCTAAATTCAAATCTTTCAACTTACCCGTATAGTTAAAAGATTAAGCTTTAATTTAAAAAAAGATATGAAATTTCCGCGCACTAATTTATTAACAACTTTAATCTGAAATACTCTTTTATGTGAAACACACTTTTATGTGTAAAACACGCAAATTAAATGGCGGGAGTTGAGCTGTCAAAATAACTCTCAAACAGCTCTTCGAAAGTTCGAATTTCCTGCTCCCAAATTTTCGGGGAAAACGCTGCCCCCTGGCAGTTTCGAATAGGAGGATTTTATTCTCAAGAAAAGTAAAATCCGCGAGATATGAAATCCTCGGGAATATTCAGAATTGGGCTGATTACCTTAGCTATTTCTGAAAATCATGGAAATTGGTTCACTATAACATATAGCTCCCATAGAACTTATTGTTCAGATATGTGGTTGTGCGTTACAACTCATATTTTATTTCCTAATATTTTTTATATTAGTTTATATACTATTTGGACCTAAATTTGGGTTCTCTTCAATCACGTTTGCATATTTTGCTAGTTTCTATTGCTCGAATAATTTTTTTAATATCCTTTTCCTCCTGCGATCGACCAGCAAAAGTCCGCCAACATTGAGTTCAATCGTTTTCCAGTGAATCGGTCCTCAAAACACATAATGGATTGGTGAAATCTCTCTCCTACCTCGTCGGTTTCTGTTGAAAGCTGTTGATCGTAAAAGTCAAAGTGACTGTGTAGCATGTGGATTTTAAGCGACATGTGCACACCAAAGGCGTCAAAAGATTCCATCAAGTTCGCAATAAAAATAGCATATTCTGGTGAACGATTTTTACACAGAACGTGTTTAATTAAAGAACGAACTGCATCCCATGCAACGGCTGCTGTGCCATCAAGAATTTCCAAGAAGCCTTGATCCTTCATTAATCTTCTGATGTCCGGCCCATTAAGCACACCCGAAATAAAAATTATGGGGTTCTTAAAGCAAGATAGAGTTATTTATTTATTTATTTATTTATTTATTTATTTAATTATAAGTCTTTGGAATACAATCCTTACAGACTATGTACTTAACTAATTTATAGATTACAAACTAATTTTGTGCATAAATCAAACCACTTATAAGGCAGAATTAAGCATCGAGAAAAAAGCATCACTTTGCATCGAAAAATCCAAGGTGATAGCATCACTTAGTGAATTAAACTCTCGTAAAGCACGATTAACAGGAGCATTACAAGCGTAATGCGTTTTCGTATTAA